TTGCCCTTGACGTCAACCGCCTCAAGGGCTCTCCCCACCGCTCTCCCCTCCACACGCCGAGAGAAGAACCACCATATCCCATCCCCTGTTGGCTCACCGGCCGGTTCCCCACGACTCCGACGACACGGACGTGGTGGTTCTTCCTCCCATGTGGCACAGGCCCAGCACTCCCACTCAGCGGTGGTGAGTGTCGCTGCCGCTCAAACCACCCCGTCTGTTGCGGCACCTCCTTTGGCCCCCGCCGCCCTTACCGTCTCTACTGCTGCCGCAGGTGCTGCAGTCCAGATACCACCATCTGGCCCAGCAGTTTCATCGAACCACACCGGTGCTGCTTCCCAGCTTCCCACATCGGTCGCGGCATTACGACTTCGCTATCTTCTTCCCGCCTTCGTTCCTCTACCCCCACAGCAGGGTACCACCGGGGTTGTGACTCCTCCTCCCAATGGGAGAACCGCTCCGCCTCCAGTCCGACCCCGCGCACCCAGCGAGTGGCCATTTTACAGCCCACCGTTGCACAGGCTCAAGCGGAGATCCTGGCCCTGAGACAACCTCACCCTTCGCAGGCTGCTCACCCTTCTTCTTCCTCTACCACCTTCGCGACCCCCATCATGTCGGCTCGTTTCCCACGATCGGCTCCTCGGCCTCTCCCCTCTTACCTAGCCATTCTGGGACAGCTGCCCGCGGCCGTTGCCTCCTCATCTGCTGGTCCAAGCGGCCATGGTCCACAGCCTTCCCCCACGTCTTTCCCTGCAACGGCCCCGACTTATGTCGCTGCAGTGCACTCGCCTCGATCTCTCTCCCCCCACCATCAGCACAGTGGGCATCCTCCTGTGCGCACCTCAGACATTCCCGAGTATGATGGCACATCCCGTGTCTCTCGCTGGTTGCAGATAGCAAAGCGCACACTCTTGTTGACGACCACCCGTCAGGAGCAGTGGTGTGATGTGCACGCAACCAAATTATAAGGCAGTCCGTCCACTACGTGGGAGGATCATTATACCCAGCGCCTCCGCGTGGGTGAGGTCCCCACTCTGGCCGACTTCGCGGCCCTCCTTCAGGACCGCTTCGGCACTCGTCATGACACCACCGACGCCTTAGACCACATCACCCAGACCATATGGTCCGGGTCCTCTGTACTGGCCGACCTGGAGCGTCACATCTGGGTGTTTCAGGACGCTTGCATTGTTTGTGACGAGACGTTCCTACCGGAGGTCACACTCACCGACTGGTTGCTCGTCAGGCTGCCGACTGACTACCGCTTAGAGCTATGGAGGTGATCATTCTCTTCCGTGGAGTAGGCATACGAGGTTGCGCGTCAATACCAGAGGATGTGTAGTCGCTTCTCCGTCTCCCCATCCTCTTCACGGCCAGCCGCCACCTCCCAATCTCGCGGTACCACCAAAGGCCGCTCCTCTTTTGCTGGTCGTTTTCGTCGCCCGGCTCGACCTGGAGCGCCATTCTCTCGGCACTACAGTTCTCTCGAGTATGGAGAGGACGCCTCAGCCGAGCTAGACCCTACCATTGGGGACGCCCCCGAGGACATCGAGCTTCGGGACGTCATCCAGTACCACTTGGATGACGATATTGTCCCAGTGGCCGAGCGCCTGCAGATGACCATGTCTGCCATGGGTCGTGCGCGCAGTCGGGTTGCACAGGCTGGCGCACGCACAGCCACTGTTCCTCAGATAGACCTCCCGCAGGGTTTTGTCCCTTCTCGCGGAGCTCTATCCCCTGAGGAGCGTGCCGCCCTTGAGGCACGGAGCGGCTGCCTTCGTTGCCGCTTGGATGGACACACCTCCTCACGGTGTCCATACCATACAGCCCTCGATCGGCACTATGCTGACGTCTTTCGTTAGCGTCGATCTCAGTCCCCCCCCGGCCCCGCCCGGCCAGCCCCACCCAGCTAGCCACAGTGCAGTGTACCACTGAGGCCTCGCACGTAGCCGGCTTCCCGACCACTGAGTCGCGGTTTGCCCCTTTGGCTAACCCACCAGAGGATCCTCAGGACACGAGAGACGTTGTTCCCTCTGCCCCGTTGTCTGTCGAGGTACTGTCTGCCTCACAGCAGACTGCCGCATCTAGTGCTTCCCCTCCGAGACTTCCGACGCGTCGCGCCATTCGCACAGCCCATTGTAGTGCTCAACTGGCGACTCGCGATGACGTTGTGTCATCTTTCCTTTACTTGAGCATTCTTCAGGCTCGTGAGGAGCGACTCATGAGACACGTCTGAGTCAACGTCCTGCGTCGTCTTCTCGCTCTGCTTTCCGACCCTGATCGCACCCTACCCATTATCCCTATTTGCCTAGGGACATCTACAAGGGTGTACCGTGCTTTATGGGACTCTGGCTCACAGGGATATTTCGTTCACCCTCGAGTGGTTGAGGGAGCTCGCCTAACTACCTCTGGGTCTCGCTCTCCGATCTCCGTTACCCTCGGAGATAACAAGACATGATGCTTTTTCGATCAAACGGTCCCCGACCTCCACTTCTCTCTCACCCTCCACACACCGGATAGTACCCAGGTGCCTTGGCGCTACCATTCCTCCGCATACTTCGACGTGCTGGAGAATGGGTACGACTTTATCCTTGGCACTCCCTGGTCTTGCAGGTTTCGTGGCACAGAGGCCGGATGGGCGACCGAGACACTCGTTCTCAGAACGAAGTGTGGTCAGACCCATCACGTCCCCTTCATTGGAACCACGGGCGACAACCCTCCCGACCTACCTCCCCAGGACCCTCGTCCCTCAGGGTTCCACCCCGACATCACCTTCACTTTCCCTCATCAGTTTGCTGAGTTCATACGACAGGAGGACGTTGTCGGTGCGATAACCCTTACAAGGGTATCCGCCCTAGTTTTTTGCAAATAACAGAGAATAAGTTTGATTTAAAAGTTCAGGTACGCTGCGCGAGGGCGCGACTGTGTCTATTGTTTACGTTGGTTGGACGATTGACTAGAAATAGAGAGTGAGTGGGCACGCAGGCTGAAGGCGCGCGTGATCTCTTTTTCCTTATGCCATCGCCGAGCATCCACCTGCTAGGACTCCTATGAAACATCCGCGGACGCGTCCGCGGGGTCAATCTCGGAGGGCGAACGTGAACACGGCCACCGCGGCTCCGGCCGCGGTTGGGCACGGCCGTGACTTTCAGGAATCTTTTGTGACCTTAAAAAATTATCAAAAAAAAAAACAAAAAATATGGGGTTATAGATCTTTTCGAGATCTAAATTGCGCAATGTTTTATTTTATTTTTTGACTTCGTCTTCGAATTTTAAAAATTCAAAAACTAATTTTCCTGAGGCAAAAGCTGTTTGTTTTTTTTGTTTCAAAAAAAAAAACATGAAACGTATGTGATTTTTTATTTTAAATTCAGTAACGTTTTTTTATATGACCACAAGGCAAAAGTTGTTCAGTATATTTTTCTGCATAACATATATATATTTGTCAGAAATTTTTGAATTCTTTTTTTTTTTTTTTTTTTTTTTCATGGCCGCGAACCGCGGACACGTCCGCGGATGGCCGCCGGCGAGGGGGATTCGTAGGCTAGGAGTGCCAGCCAGTTGCGCCCAGTCGCCGACGACTCCAGCTTGCAAGCAGGTCTCTCTCTCTCTCTCTCTCTCTCTCTCTCTCTCTCTCTCTCTCTCTCTCTCTCTTTTGTCGTGTTCGATCTTGCGGTCGTTCGATGTTGGGGTTACACGTGTCTCTGTCTCTGTTTGTCTGTCTCTGTCTGTCTGTCTCTGTCTGTCTGTCTGTCTGTCTGTCTGTCTCTCTCTCTCTCTCTCTCTCTCTCTCTCTCTCTCTCTCTCTCTCTCTCCCCCTCTCGTCATGTTCGATCTTGAGGCCGTTCGATGTTGGGGTTAGACATCTCTCTCTCTCTCTCTCTCTCTCTC